TATATATATATATATATATATATATTTTAGCAAAAGGATGAGAAAGCTGATCCTTCAATGTTACCACCTTTGCCATTACCTTTCCGTGATAGAGGTCATACAATTTCTGTAATGAGTCCTGTGAAAAAATCTCGTGGAGAATGGGATAATATTCGTAGAGGAAATTCACCACGAATAAAAGACACTCCAAAAACTGGTATTAATCCTAGGTAATGTTATAATATTTTTAAATAAAAATATTTAATAATTATTTTTGTTATAATGTAAAATTTATACATAAATTATAAATTACAGTTTTGTGTTTTTACAACTATATCATACAGCACATTTTGGTTCGCCTTCAGAAAAACCTTTATTGGTTCCACAGACAACGGCTGTACAAAGAGCAGTAACAAATTTAGATAGAATACAACCATATGAAACTCACAAAATTGGAGTTCTTTATGTTGGTCCAGGACAAGCTTCTAATGAAACTGAAATTTTAGCTAATCAACATGGATCACTTCGATATACAGAATTCTTACAACGATTAGGAACATTAATTCGATTGAAAGATGTTGATGAAAGTGTGTTTTTGGGAGGATTAGATCGTAATGGTGAAAATGGAAACTTCGCATATATTTGGCAAGATGATGTTACACAGGTTAAAATGAATTATTAAAATTTTTGTTATTCTATATTCTTAATAAATTTTTATTCTATATTCTTAATAATATAAATTTTTTAAATTTTATTAGGTAGCATTTCATGTTGCTACATTAATGCCTACAAAATTAAGTGATCCAAAATGTACATCTAAAAAGCAACATATTGGAAATAACTATGTTACTGTTGTTTATAATGAATCTGGAGAATCATATAATATACAAACTGTAAAAGTATGTATTATTATATCATTTTCAAGATTTAATTAGAAGTAATAATAATTAATATTTATTTTAATATTAATATGTTCTTTTAGGGACAGTTCAATTATGCATGTGTTGTAATTCAACCTCTAGATCATGGTACTAATCAAGTCACAGTTCAAGTAAAAGAAGAATTAGCTAAACATATTAGACACAGTGAACCAAAAATTATTTCTGATCAAAATTTAGCTATTTTATCTCGACAATTAGCTCTTCATGCCAATGTAAGATTAATAAAAATTAAATTATGTAATTATTAATTTCATTTAATTTGGTATTATATTTTAATTTTATTTCTTAAATTATAATATATATTTATTTAAAATGTAGTTCAAACAGAAATTATATTACAGAGAAATTAAAAATTCTTTTTTCATTTTTGCAGCTTGCTTCAATGGTTTCATCATCATTAGAACAAAACAGTCACAATCCATATGCTTCTAATTGGTTAGAACGTTTACGACATATTAAAAGACTTAGAAATCGTGTATTACAAGAATCAACAAATAATAATCCAGATGGGACAACTGATGATCTATCCCCAAGATCAAATAAACGTATTTATATGGATGATTTTACTGAATATACAACATGATTTGATTTTAATAAAAAAATTATTTGATAATTATCATTAATATGTCTATATTTGTTATAAAAATATGTATATATTGCAATAATTAAGTATTCTTTTTATATATTATTACAAAAAACATAATTACTTTAGGAATCTTGTATCAAATTTTTAATTCAAATTTGATTTCTTATAAATATAAATTTTTTAATATTGTAATTAATAAAAAGAAGAGCAATAATATATTATTTAATGTTTAATATTTAATTTAATATTGCTTAATGTATTTTCTTTTCATAATTGTAAATAAATAATTTGATAAAATTATTTATTAAGTTTCAATAAATTAATATTTTTAAAAACATATTTATATATAATGTTATTTCGTTAAGAATAAAGATAATATAATGTTATGAATAGTACTACAAATATTTATTTGACACTGATTGGTAGAAATCTGTTTCTGAGGTTATATTTATTTAATAAGTTGGTAATAGAAACAGTGCTTAACCATAAAGAAGTTCACGTGAGAACCACGTACAAAATCGTTGACAGATATAAGCGCCTCTGTCTATATAATTAAGAAACTCACGGGTCGATTTTCTGTACATCAACATATCCTTATAATATATACTGTCAATCTCATTTGGTCCTGTCAGCTGGTGAAGGGGAGATAAAAGAACGATAAAAATGGTAAATATATTTTAAATTATTGAAATTTAAAATTATTTAGATATGCATTATATGTTCTAGTAATAATAATTTCTTGACTTTTAGTCGTTCGCCGAGAAAATATCATCGATTATGCAAAGACCAGGACAGGACCCTGTTGCCAAGGACGATGTACCTTGGTGGATGAAATATGCTGGTCGAGGACTCGGAACTGTGGGTAGTATAAGTAAGTCTTTAAATTTAAAGAATATTATAAGATACATATTATCATATAATTAACTTACTATTACTATTTTTTTTTTTACTGCATTTTTTACATATTTGTTATATTTTTAAAAAGTACATAATAAATGCATATAATAGTTAATATTTTACATAGATATACAATATTAAGATATGATTTATGGTTTGTGATCTTTTTATATTTACAAATAATTATATAGCACAATAGCACTCAAATATTTTAAATCATTTTTATCATTATATAAATTTTATTATTTGTATTATTTTTATTTATATTATTTATATTAGATGTTACAAAAATATGTATGTAGCAATTAGAATTTATAATTTACATTATCATTCATAATTTATAATTCATAATCTATATTTATTCAATAGTTTTTATTGATTTGTTACAGTTGCTATTTTTCTTGGAGTATGGAATTGTGCATCAATATTATTGGGTTCTGTAGATTGTCTAATAAGTGGTATGTGGCAAATGGTAGCTGGTTTTATAGTTATAATGATAGAAGCACCATGTTGCTGTCTATTTATTGATTTTGTACAAAACTTAAGTGATTGGGTTGAAAAGAGACCTTATTGGAATAGAGCAGTCGCATATTGTTTGTAAGTAGATCATGTATTTGATGGGATATATAAGCTATGATTTCAATTTTTTTTTTTAATATTAATTTGTATCATTAAATTTAATATTTAAATACAATGCTTTTTCTTATTTTTTTTAGAATAGCACTTCCTTCAGTCTTCCTTTGTTTAGGAATGAGTAGTCTATTTGGCAGTGGTCTAATATTTGCAACAGGTGTAATATATGGATTAATGTCACTTGGACGAAAGTAAGTTATATTTGTTTCATTTATAGCATTATAAGATAAATTATTAATATTGAAATTATATAGACAATTAAAAATATATTTCTATGGATAATTCATTAATAAGTATATGTTTTGTTTCAATTCTAAGAAATTAATATAATTTTTTACATAATTATTTTATTTAGTTGAAACACTGAGTGATATGTTGTTATAGTAACATGTGCATATGTTATTTGCTTGGGATGTGGATGAAAAACTAATTATTTTATTTGTTCCATATTTGTGTCTATATTTTAATCTATAACTATGGTTTATGGATACTTTCTATATATAAATTAACTAACACATAATATTTTTATTTTTGAAGTCTTATAAAACATGTATCATCATACAAAGCAATAAAATATATCATTTTCATTTAACAGCTAAGTGTTGTTAGTAAGCTATGTTTTATTAAAATATAATCATAAAATATAATATATTTGATAAGTATAATTTTTATTTTTGTTACTAATACACTAATCACAACAGAGGAACCAGGCCCGACCCAGCAGGAATAACGTCGGGTGTGAGTTCCCCACAGGGTACAGTACCTCCTACTACAGATCACCATACTACTCTCGTGGAGGATCCTGATGTCTGGAGGCCTACATAAATCATCAAACATTCATTGCACCACTTCTCTAACCAGGCAATAATATATAAAATTTATTGTCATTTTTACATTTGTAGTTTTTTAGATATATAAATTTTTAGGTTCATGATTATATTTTAATGTTACTGTTATGCCCAATATATTTGACAATATGCATTTAATTTCTTTGATATTATAATTAAGTTATTATTTGTGTATAATGATTTTTTTTTGCTTTACTAATATATTCGATTAAGTTTTTATTCTAAAATTAAATTATTTAATTTAATATAATATAAATATTTTATATTTTTTAAAATTTGTCTATATTCATGAGTCAATTATCTTGAAAGGCTTATATGTATGCTTAAGCTTAAGAATAATTTATAATTTTAAATAATTATTTAATATATTATTTATTATTATTTAATATAATTATCTAATATATAATATATAATTATAAATAATAATTTAATTTTAATTACCTATACATAAATACATTCTTTTAATTTCATAAAATAACATTTAATTTTAGATCATATATTTAGATTCTTTCTTGCATTAGAAAGATATGTTGCTTTATTCCTTTATTTTTTAAACATTGTTATATAGATTAATGACTTGCATGCTGCTGCTGGTTTCTTTCATTTATAATTTTATATATGGTATTTAAATATAATATTATAGTAATAATATTTATATATTTATAGTATTTAAATTTCAGCTCAACTTTTAGTTTTTATAAAAACACTTATAAAGTAAATAAAATACAATAATATTAAAATTTTTTAAATATTTAGAATTATTATTCAAGATATTCCAATATTATATGGATGCAATTTTAATTAAATAATTTTAAATTATATTTTTATATTTCCTTTGAAATCTTTATTTTCTCATTTTGTAGCTTTAAAATGCTTTCTTATAGTTTATAGATACGTGTTTTATAATACAACTTCTAATGCACATATTTTTATGTGTTTATTAATTATTTTGAATCTTAATAATTTATGAATTTTTTAGAGCACCTTTCCGTGAAATGAGATCAGCAGCGACGAATATTGAGGTTCCTTCATCGAGTATGCAAGCTACACTTGTTGAAAATGCTCAACCAATGGGTTTTTCCAATAAACCAGATAGTAATATTTAAATTTAAAGAATTAATTGGCAAAAGAAAAGTTTTGGTGTGAATGATGATGAATGTTGATTTGATGAAATAACTAATAACTGAGCTCATAAATATGTATTGTTTGAAACATTAGTTCCATTATTTTAATATTTCATTATCTTCAGCTTATGATTCTATAAATTGTTACATTATTTCTGTTGAAATATAAATAAAATAACTTCTTTTTTTTAAATAATTCATAATTTAATTTCAGTTGTGAAATTTGACATTAGTACTATATTATCATTAGTAATTAGTAAGACATTAGTAATATTAATATATTATTTATTAAACTACTATTATTGTTTATAAAAATTATATGATTTTAATTTATCATTTGAAATAATGCCAAAGTTAAAGACTGCTATAAAAATTATATTCTGAAATTATTTATGAGCTCAGTTTTTTGTGATCCTACTTGTCTAATTGTGTCATAATGTTCCAATAATGAAATTTACGATGAAAAAAATAACCTTATGTTAGTTGATTTTGGATGTAGTTATCTTTAAATTTTGTGTTTTAAGATAATAAATTGTAATATTTTTAACTAAAATAACTCTTCCAAAATCAAAATATCCTAAGACTTTGAAACTGATCATTTATAAGTTATAAAACGAGTCACATGTTAGCTTTATCTTTACTTATTGTTTATATAATATAATTGAACACAAAGTATCTGGCCATCTGAGTATTTTGTATCTCATTAATTAACATATCATTTTTCATTCTATCATATTTTCAACTAATTAGATTATCATTATAAATAAATTTCGAGTTACTTTTTTCTTATTAATATATTGTTTCATATAAAATATACTGAATACCAATATGGCTGAATAATTTTGTGACTATTTATATATTTGGGATAGTCATATAGTTAGAACAATTTATCATTTTTTTATCGTTCAAGATAAATTAATTTAAGAAAAAATAAAATAGTTTAAATTATCCAATAATAAAATTGTACGTGTATTCTTTTTTCAAATTGCATTATATATTTTTTCATATAAATTAATATTTTTATTTTACAAATAAAATTCGTAATATTTTGTGATACTCATTATCTGAATTTTATTTAGAAAATTGATATTTGATATATTAAAATTTATTGTATAATTAAAGAAAGAATTATTGTTTCATTGTTTTATAATTTACATCACTTTTTATTATTTTTTCCATCTTGAACGGAAAGAAAGTATGAATTCTCCCGATTGTATTGTATCAATTATTGTATATTCTTCTCTCTGCCAAATTTGTAAATATACGTGTATACATACATTTATATGCAGGAAACGATTTTTAATTATTTCACATATAATATTTAAATTTATATGATATCTACTTCCATATACTCTTATATATGAAACTTCCAAACTTAATTTTTTATATTTTAAATTTAATTTTATTGTAATTAAATATAATATAAGGCAGAGAGAACTCATGATCAGTTATACTATATTTATATATAATTATATATATTAATTATATAATTTATATTATATAATTATATAATTATATATTATATAATTAATTATAATTAATATTTATAATTATAATTATAAATATATACATTATAATTAATTATATTATTTATATATAATTATATATTATAATTAATTATATAATTTATATATAATTATATATATTATATTTATATATAATTTCTATTAAAAATTATGAAAATATAATTAGATAACATTCTGATTATTTTAAGAATATTTATATTATTCTATATAAAATTTTAATCAGAATCAAATGTATTAGTGATTTTTTTGACAATTTTTTAAATTTTTTCCTCATAAATCAATATCATGTATTTTTAACCGAATAAGCATTTATTTCTTAATCGAAATTGTTAAATTACTCGACCATTATCTTTCCCTATTCCTATTTTTTAAAAATAATGCATTTTTTAAAAATGTAAAATTTTAGAAATATTTGATTATGAATTGACTTTTTCTAATTTTTAATAATTTTTTTTACGTTTATCAAAAAAACGCATTTGACTTCATTTCGAATTTAAATATCACTTCTAAACGCGATTATTGTATTCGTGTAGTTTGTATTATAATTATTATTTATTGTGATTTTTACGTTGCATTTTATTGTGATTTTTTATTATTAAGCAAACTTTTAATAATTTACATTTATGAATAATAAATGGTAAATTAGAAATAATAAATACTATATTATATTTAATGTTAATGAGCGTATATGAAAAAACAGAAGCATGTATGTAATTAAATTACTGCATGTAATTTTTATCCAGATATTGATTATACTGATTATATTGATTATATTGATTTTCATTTTACGATTATTTCAAAATTATAAAATATTTATTTTAAATTTAAATTGCGTATTTTAATATATATAGAGAAATTTGAATGTACTTATCTTGATAATGCTGTTGATATCAATTTTAATATAATATTTAATAGTAAAATAAATGATATAAAGAATATTTTATATTAATGAGAAACATTCAGCTAAAGTAGATATTCAATATTTTCATGATTTTATTTGATTTAAATTACATAAATTTTAATTTAAAATATTTATGATTTAAATAAAAGATATTTGAAGAAATTCAATACGAAGAAAATGATATAAAAATAAATGTTAAAATAAATGTTCAAATGACTATTGTATAAAACATATGATAAATTACATGTGGCACTTTACTGCTATTATAGATAGAAACAGAAATATATTTATAACAATTTTCTGTCAGGAAAAAATGTGTTCAAATGTACATGTCTCATGTATTTTTCATTAATTATTATTAGCAAATTAAGTATTTATATATAAATACATAAATAATTTATTATAGTTTAGAAAATTATAAATAACTTTTAAGAGTATACATTATCTTTAAAATATATCAAAATATACATATGTAGATATTTAATTTTCATTAAATAGAAAGCAACAGAATATTTATCTATATAATGCTTAATACACTTTTATTATTTCAAGCTATCAAATTTATATATAGAAAGCAATAAAGTTCTTTTAAGCATACCTCGATTTAGTTAAAAATATAATATGTTTAATTTTGGAAATAGAAACAAAAAAAAAGCTGTTACATATAATATGTATTATACATATTATAATATTAATTAAAAGCAATAAGTTAAATTATAATGATGATTGTATATGATCTTGATTCATTACATATATGTATAGTAAAATTATCAATAAATATTTAAATTATATTAAAAATATATAAATAATTTTTAATAAAATTAATATTTAATTAGTTTTTATAAAATTATATATATTATTTTATAATTATTAATTAATTATTTATTAAATTAGAATTATAAGCAATTTAATTTAATTTAAATTATTATATAAAATATATTTTAATATACTTATTTTTTATATCTAAATTTTTTTCAATTTCATTTTTATAAAAATATCATTTTTATATTTTTTATATATATAATAGTTTATACTATTTTGAGTTTATTATATATTTACAGAATATTAATATATTAATATTAATTTTAATATATTCGAAAGACTTTGGAAAATTGATTTCAGAAATTAAAATAAGTATAAAATATAAATACAAAAATACAAATAAAAATATACAAAATGTTAATACAAATATACAAATATATAAATACGCAAAAAAATTACATAAAATGTTGCTTGAAATTTATTTATTAAATTATAAATAATTAATTTTTTTGTTGATGAAGCAAAACAGAAATAGAATTATCTCATTTTCCATGTGACATTTTGTCTAAGACAAATTTCAATTATAATTTAATAAATATATTTTTGTATATTAATTTTTGTATTTATCTTAGAATTTGATATTCTTTTAATCAAATATATTAATATTCAAATATATTAATATCTTATATTCAAGTTATAAATTGAAATTTACAATTTTTTTTATAGAGTTCGAATTTTATATTTTCAAATAGTAATAAGAAATCCAATTACAAAGATTCCAAGTGTTTAATGAAGATATATAAAAAATTTTTTCTAAATTATATTGTATATATAATTTGTAACATTTATTTTTTGAATGAAGTAATTAATTTATAAATGAAGAAAGAAATTTAAATAATTTCAATAATTAATTAATTCTAATAAAATATCAAAAGAACTGAAATTAAATAATGATTAATGATATTTTTAATGATTACAATTAAATTTTAATTATTTAATAATTTATAGAATATATATAATAAATGATGTTGTTAATTACTTATTTTTATTTTGTTTTAGCATTTTCATTTATTTGAATATGATGAATAAATTATTGGATGAACCTGATTATTCCTCTTGTCTGATTTTATTGATTTTATATATATTATAAAAGAAATCATTTTGAGAATCATTTTTTTTATAATCATCAGCTTCAATTTTCAAGTTATTTAAAAAAAAATGTTCGATATTATATATTAAATTCTGTTTATACAAATGCGTTCGTAACAACACATGTGACAGTTTCATCACTTCTCAATTGTTTACATAAAATATCTTCTAAATTATGATACAAAGCAAACATTGAAATGTTTCTTATAAGTTAAATATTTCATGACAAATTTTTATAAATATCAATTTATAAAATATTTTTTAAATTAAAGATTTTTTGACATGAATAGTTTAATTGTTTTTAAAAAATAACGAATTGTATCAATTAATGCAATAAAAATTATATAGTTCTAAAAAAAAAAAATTAAAGTAGTTTTCATATGATCTTTACAATCTATAGAGAAATTAATATTACATATTGTATTTCTTTATACCAAATAACTTCTATAAGAATATTTTTTTCATAATATTTTTTCTTTAGATATTTCATTAATTAATTAGATGAAATGAAGTAGAATATAATAGTTCTATTATAGATATACCATCGCACTGTTTTGTTTTTATCTTGCTTTATTTAATACAAACTTCAATTGTTATAATTTAATAAATTAAATATTTTTGTATATCAATTTTTGTATTCTAAAATCTTTTTATGTTACAAATATATCAATATTATGTATATACTAAAAAAGATCTCATTCAAAACATAAAAAAATAAATTTTCAATGAATTTACTCCTGGATCATTCTAGTTTATACAAAACCAATTAATCATTCGGCAAACTAAACAAAGAAATTTCAATGAAAGTTGGTTTTCTTTTTATCGTACTGTCATTTTATTCTGTCTTTATCTTATTTTATCTAACATAAATTTAAACTTATAATATAAATAAACAAGTTTCAATATTTTTGCATTCTTTTTTTTTTATGTTCATTTTAATTTATAGAATTAATGTTTCAATATATTAATATTCTGTATATTATAATATTATCAATATATCATATATTTTAAAATATCGATAAATTAATAAGCTTTTTGAATTATTTTATAATTATTTTATATATACATTTATTTCTCATAATTCTTTTTTTTTTATTATTTTTTTATTATTATAATAAATAATTTAGATTTAGAAAGAAAACACATATAAAATATATATAAAAGTAATTAAATTAATTAGGAAATAATTATTGATTTTATTATTTGAAAGATATT